CCGGCTGCTGCCAAGGCAGCGCCCGCCCCGCCCCGCAGGCGGAGCCGCGATCGCCCGGGGGCCGGCGGCAGGGCACCCGTCCGCGGGCCCGCCGGAAGGTACGGCAGTTCCCTCACGGGGCAGAGGAGCGGGCCGGGCTGTTCGGGACCGCCCCGGGCCCTCCCGGGGGAAGCTTCTCCCACCGCCCCTGAGGGGGAGCAGAGCCCCTGCTGCCACCGGCGGGGGAGGGCTGTGCCGGGTCACTGAGACCGGGCCGGGCGCAGGGCGGTGCCGCGGCCCTGCTGTCGCCCGCTGAGGCTTCCCCCGCTGCCCGGCCTGCCTCGGGCACCGGGACCCCAAATTGGGTCCGGTGACAGCGAGGGCGGCCCCAAGGCGCTCTGGCTTCTGCCAGTTTCGCTCCCCTGTGGTAATTGTACTTCCCCGAGGAGAGCGGTGAGGGAACTCCCCAGCTCCAGAAGTTTGTTTGCTCTGTCAGGGCCACACATGTCTTCAGCTTTCCTGTTGTCACTGGAACAGTACCGTTATTTAGCTCTGGAAAACTGTGGCATGAAGTTATAATAGCCCCTTCATGCTGAAAAGGTAGAGCTTTCACAGGTTGTGACTATGGCTTAGCCTCAAGATAAATACCATGTTGACATTCATGCTGTGAAACAGTAGTACCTTAAACCTGGGTGGAGATATCACAATTACATGTACCCTCCATAACACCTGAGGAACACAGTGACTCAGAACAGGATATAAACTCCTACAACTCTAGATTCTCTATCAAGCAGGCCAAAGCAGAAAGTAGGCAGAACATGGCGCAGTGGTCCCTCACCCTCAGAGCTTAAATGCAGAGGAGGGAGACACACATCTTTGCTTCCACTCCGTAAATGATAGAATTTACTGTTTGGAGGTGTGACAGCTTTGTTCACAGGTGCTGTAAGGTTCACTGATGGCACTCAACTTTACAGCTGTCCAGCATCAGGTCCAATTTATAAGGTGCTTCTAAGCCTGTAAGGGATTAACTTGAAGCAGAACAGCAAGGATTTTTTTAGTTCCGAGTTGTATAATGTCACAGTGCATTATTAGTGCATGGAAAGGGCATTTTTTTCAATAAGCAGTTGAGTAACTTTAGTATTTGTATTAAAACAAATATACATTGTCCCTCTAATAAATAAAGCAATAAAATGAAAATTTTTGCCTTTTACAGATCAATACAAATTACAGTTCAAACCTTGTGTCAAAATATCCACGGCTCTTCCTGTGATTTACATCACTCAAGAAGAGAAATGCTGCTACAGGTAAGGAAATCTGATTGTCTGCAATCAAACCAGCCAAAAGTCCATGAGATGATACAGGAGTTCACAACTTTTAATCTTCCTTTCTTAATAGCTCCAGAAAAACCTGTACCAAGCTGCTAATGGTGTACCTGAGAAAACAGTTTTAACACACATTTTAAAAGTCACTGTGGTACAGCTTTTTGACACTTATTTCCATCTATTACTTTGCCAAGTTTAAAGTATGCTCTGAATATTTGTTAAATATGCAGCCTGTAAATGCTCTTCAGTTTGCATCGAGTCATGGATACAGCTTTCACTGCAATGTAGCCCTCACTAATTTGCTTTTCTGAATCCTAACACAGTCACATAAAGCTTCTGCTTGCTTACAGCTGTTAGCATCAGTAGTCTGACTTCAATTGTGTCAATATTTTTTGTCTCTTAGATCTTCTTTCTTGGGATATAAATATCTTGATTGCAAAGTAATCAGATAAAGTGTAAACAATTGAAATTGTATGTAAACTATGGAAGTTTTGCGCAAAATGATATTGCTTTTTGCCTAAAGATAACTGAGTGACAAGGCAGGAAAAACTGTGAGCCAAACAAGCTTGCCTTACCAATTTATCATTCTGGTACAACAGTAGATGTACCAATTAAACTTGTGTCTGTTATTTGGCATCGGTGATCTTTAATGTGTTTGCATTGATGTCATTCAAAAGGAAAGCTAAATCATTAACTGGAAGATAAAGCACAACATGAACCTGGATATAGTGGAATCAATTTTGAAGCTCTATGCCCTTTATAATCCCTTGTAGTCATTTGTATTTGTTTCTGGGATGTTTATTAACCCATTCCATCTATGTATATTATATATTGTCACCAGATAATTTCTCATAAGGTACAGGAAACTATAAGCTGATAACTGTCTTAGAACCATAAAATAATGCTGTTTTCATGACCATAAGTGGAAGACTTACAGTTCCTAAGAGACTCGTAATACCCTTCAACTAGTGTCATTAAAACTTCTAACACCCTTTTATTGACGTTGCTTGAAGGGAGTATTAAATCAGTAACTGTTAAGATACTGAAACCATAGAATCATTTAGGTTGAAAATGACCTTTAAGATCATTGAATCCAACTGTAAACCTAACACTGCCAAGTCCACCACTAAGCCATGTCCTTAAGCACTACATCTACACCTTTTACTATTTCACATTTTTATCTACTACATTAAGAGAACTGTATATAGTAACAAAAACCATAGGAGGAACATACAAGTCTGTTCACTCTTGGTTTACTACTGTTCACAAATGCTCAATCCCCACAATCCTTTGTAGGTCTGAGAGAGACACTTTCTCCTGGGTGGAAAAAATAGTATTCTAAGCAAATCCACACTAATAGACTTTATAAAAAATATCAAAACTTCCAGATTTGTAAATTGAATTTGCAAAAAAGCACAGAATAGTCTAGAAATATCATTTTATACATTTCTAGACTATTTCTGGAACTCTCACACATGGAACTGCCTTATTCTTTCCTGTAAAAAGGGTTGTGTGTATTGGTGATTTCCTCTAGTATCTGCTGTGATGTTCCATATTAGAGGGAAAAAAAGTGAGACACAAGACAAACAGTAAATGTGTTGCAGGAATTGTGTAGTAGACAGCAAAATTAAATATTGCCACTCTTCAGATAGCCTCCAGTAATATTCTTCAAATATTTATAAATATTTTGTGTTTTCCATGCATGAAGTAACTCTTTGCCTTTGAATTTAATGTACCTCCTTCAATTTAAGGGCAACTAAATATGCAGCACACAAGGACATTTTGTTCATCAGCAGTTCTCTACAAAACATAGTTACTCTTTTTCTAGTGAGAAGTATGGAAAGTGTGCATTCTTACAGCATACCTGGAATAAAAAAAAGAAATCATAGAACTAAATCCACAAAACAGTTTACACTGTGTTTTATAATCTGGATCCCAGGTTACTCATTAGTCTATTTTACTTAGCCAGTGGAGCTACCTTAGAAATTCTTTTAGCATTTTTTGTTTTATTTTTTTAAACAAATAGCTTAAGTAGATTAGAAGGGGGGGAAACAGTGTAGGAGGCAGACCAGAAAGGAAAGCAAAGCCATTATCAGAGCACAGCAAGGACCAGCTGCTCCCTATGGGCCAGGCAGCAAAGAGGGAACCCAAGGCTAGGAAGGCAGAGGTCTTTCTGGCCAGGACCTACCTGGTGGTACCTGAGCAAGATCACCCAGAGGAGAGTGCTAGCATCTCCCAGTGATTCCCCAGCATCTGGCGAAGTTCACAGTGATGAGGCAGGGCTGAGGCCAGAACATCAATTTGCAGATTGAGATTAATAGGCTTTGTAGCCAAATAATGGCCACAGCTAAACTGGATACCAACACCCCACAGCATCTCTAAAAGGACTGATACCTCCAGGCTGATCTTAAATAGACCTCCAGACCCTTGGGTGGGGTTGGTGGGAGGTTGCAGGTGGGACTGGTCAGGATTTATAAGGCTTGGTAATGGCCTTAGGGCCCTAGCAGCCAGAAGCACCAGAGGAGTATCAAGGGGTAGTAAGGGTAGGCTACCTTATAAAGGGAATGCAGCTGAGAGTAGCTACAAATCAGGTAGGGCTCCATATGACTGACCAAAGTGAGCAGAGCTACATGTAGCTAAGTTCAACTAAGAGTTCAGAGAGCTAGATAAACCTATTGCAATGAGGTGGGTCTAACATCAAGATGAAAAGCAGAATGACTGGGTCAGGGTCTGGCCTGGTGGCAGGAACCAATGTTAGTACTAGCCCAGCAGCCACCAGGGAGGCTGTCACGTCTAAGGTCCTGTGAGGATATCAGATCTGTGGGGAGGGTCATGATAAGGCCAGGTACAGGTATGACTACAGTATCATCAAGGCAGATGCTAGGGGTTAGAGATGCTTCTTAAACATAGCTCTTGAGTGAGGAAGGGGAGATCCCCCTCGTAGTTTCTTAGAGCTTGTTTTCAGCAGTCTGGACCAGAAGGAGATGTTGTCCCATGCTAGGAACCACAGGTCTGTGCTCAAGGCTGCTAAAGGAGAAAGTAGAAAGGAGAGCATCCTTTGGGCCCAGATGAGAGGTAGTAGGAGATGAGCTAGCCTTCCCTTAATTAACTTTGTTTCTCTCTGGATGAAGGAAGTCATCTGTTGCTGTCTAGGAAGTAGTGGGAGTCTCAGAAGTCATTTCTAGAGGAACCCTGTGAAGTGAAGAATGATAAGAGGTAGGACAACCTCTGGCAGAAATAGCAAGTGAGGGAACTATAGCTAGTGTTTACTGAAGGACAGCATGCAGCTAAAGCATGCTATTGGAAAATAAATCCTCTGACCCCAAGAAAAATGGGTAGAAAAATGCAGCGAGGTGAATAGGCAAGAAATGGGAATGCCAGGTTTTGATTCATGGGTTATATGATGCTGAAGTTACAGAAAGGGAATTAAGACAGGAAGAAATTAAGGGATGCTGTTGGGAAAACACCTTATTGTCCAATATGGAGGATTCAGCTGGACACTTTTTGTAGCTGGTGTGTTTCAGTGGCTGATAGAGATTTGCTTCCAGATAAATCTGAATTTTGAAATTGACAGCAAATCATTGACTTGTATATTTTTCTGGCTGTAGTGTTTGTTTATACAGTGGAAGTTTAGCATGTAGTTACTTATACTTCAGCGGTTCATTCCCAAATATGAGCTCTCCTAAATATGTTCCCCTCTTATGTTGCTACTCTAGAAAAAAATCTTTTATAGTTCTCAATATTAATTCATGTATGTTGTGTTGGTTTTCCTCGATTTCAAAGAAGAGACACTAAACAAAACACCACACTTTTCACACAGTAACTGTAGTCATAAATTGTTCTGAAGAATTGTGGAGATGGACAAATCTCTGCAAAGAGGAGAACAAGAATGAGTGAGATTATTGTGCAGGAATAAGAAGCAGCAAGAATGGAGTCTGAAGCTGAAGTCATTTGTATGAGCACCGGGAGCTGAAACTCAACTTATTTAAAATAGATGAAAATGTGATAATGGGAAGGAATATAAAATAAGAATGTATTGACCAGAAGACATTTTATTTTTCCGTCGAGTTAAAGTTGATATGCTATCTTCTTGAGGTAATAGTTTTACTTTGAATCTTGTTTTCCATTTTTCTTTCACCAAATAGTCTAAATCTTAGTTCCTTCTATTTTATTTCATACAAAATGCAGTTAGCTTTATGCTGCAAGCTACTACAAGCTAGGAAACTGAAAGCCAGCGCTGATATTCTATGTTTTACATACCCTGTAGGCAACCTAAATACTTAAGAGAATGCTTTGAGAGCATTGTCAGTTTTAATTTTGTATTGCATAGCTTCTGACAGTTTGTTAAATACATATATGAATTATTTAAAAAACACTTATGTACCTATTTAAAGAACAGTCTATTTGTAGATCTTTAGCACATACTCATGTACCATGTTTTTCAAGGCTTTTTGTAATATGTGGTTTTCAGCTAAGGAAAGAATGTAGACCATTTACAATTTCTGAAATAATTACTATACAACCCCTCATGGTCAATAAAAATAAAGAACGATTTCTGCATATTTTCCCTGATATGGCACCAGGTAGAGCTCCAAGTTTTCATTTCTGTGAATTTTTCCTCAATAGGAATGAGTGAGAACTGAGTGGGGTTTGTTTGTGTGGTTTTATCTTTAGATACTATATATAGAACCAAGAAAAGTGAAATTTAACTCTGTAATTTCTAAAACTATTTGACAAGATGGTTCTTTGTACAGAAGTACTGTGGTGGTTTTTTTCCTTTCAAAAAAAAGAGACTCACTTTTAATATGTCAATAAGAATTGTTAAGGTCATGGTGGATCCGCTTTTGATCAGTTACAATACTGAAATAATTGCAAGAATTTTTGCTGTTACAGATGATAGAAAAGGTTTGTTTTATTTGCTTTCGCGACTTCGTTTAGAATTATTTCTATTAATTGCTATTACCTCTGTGATTGTATGTTGCCTTTTATATTAATTTATTAAAATTTTGGAACAGTGACTTCTGGAGAAAGTGATGCTCGGTTGTCTTCTGGTGTATTCAGGGATCTTGGCTCTCCTTGAATCTATTTCCCTTCACTTGGAAAATTCTCCTGAAGGCACTGGGCCAAAGTCAGATGATGTTCAGGCACATTTTTCATTTGGGCTAGGTACCACCTGAGGCTTCAGCCTCTCAAATGTCTTGTGGATGTAACCTGGGATTCTATGATTTCAGACCCCTTCATCATCATAGCTGCATCACAGGCAACGATGGGGCCACAACCTCCAGACCCTCTTCTCTTGTTTCCAAAAACCAAGAAGGGAAAAGCTGCAAGTCATGGCTGCTACTCATGCACTGTACCTGCAAAGATTTCACCAGGGTCTTCTCAGGCGTGCACTGGTGGCAGAACAATTCCTGTTGTCCGAAGCGTGGCATAAAGCGGAAGGCAAAGGCCATTGGTCCCACCAAGGCATAAAAATAGATTCCTAGGCCTCCGCTGGCTGACCAGCATGTGTGTGGGTATGACTCAACCCCAGAGTTCTCTCTGCGTGTGGAAGACAGATAATCCCACTGTAGCCTTAGTTAATTAGCAATTTGTTCATAGGAGAGGAACAGTGTGAGTAATTCTTTCTGTTGAAAGAGACCTTGATAGACCTTCCGGTGGGAGTCATGAGCAGAGATTTTAAGATTTGGCTCGATATTAACAGCAAGAAAAACTAAATATCATGGAAGCATCAGCAAAGGGTGGAGGGTGGGGGAAGATCTCCAATATTTTATGAGGGTGAGGGGAAAAAAAAGCACTAAACTAATTGAAATAACAAAATTCACAAGTGATTTGTAAAATGGAGCCTCTAGTTACCAAGATGCCTAATTAATTTTCCTTATTAGGTTGCTCATAACATTAAAATATTATTTTCTCTAAAGTATCACAGTAGCAAACGTTCAGATAACCTAGGTAGATCTTTTAAGTAAATTGCATTGGCTAGAGGAGTTGGATTTTGTTATTAACCACGGAAAAAGAAAAGGTAATTGAAAAGGTTTCTTGTGGTTTGGAAATGCCTTCCAAATATTCATTAAACATTTAAGCGACTAAATTTGCAGAATATGTTCCTGACATTGGCACTGGTTCTGTGGTATTTCTCTCATCAGATGGAAGTACTGTGTGTTATGCAGAGTGCATTCATGCATAAACAATATCATTTTCATAAATTAAAACCTCCCCTGCAGAAGGAACATCTGTGCCTGCCTTTGAATAAAAGATGGTGGCATGTGAGCTGCCCCTTGCCTGACTAGAAGAATCCTTAGGTTTAAGAAGGCGCACAACCAAAAGGCGAGCGAGCCTGGGTCGGCTTTTTCCATTTTATCTGAAAAATCGCCATTCATTTCCCCGCCTCGGGTTATCTGGGGTACGTTTAGCTGCCTGGCCGCTGATGGGGAAGGTTAACCGGCTACTTGAAAAGTTGCCTTTTGCTTTCTTCCTTTTCAGAGGCAGCAACAGTTCCTGGTGTGGGGCTGGGAGCTGGGGCAGGGGGGGAGATGCTGCCAAACCCAGGAATTGCCAAACCCAGCAATTCCAGCGGGTTTTTAGCACGACAGATCGGCCGTGAAGGTGCTAACCCAGGTTTGCAGCGCTTCCTCGTTGGGTTTCTGTGGCTATAAACGCCTTTAAAACAGCCGTCAGTAACTTGATTTCTCGCGGAAAAGCAAACACAAATACCCTCAGCCACAGGACAGCCTGGCCATTTTCGGCTGGGTTTAAGTGAAATGTTTGGGAAATAGGAATAGTTTTGTGACAGGCTTCCTATACGGTGTTTCAGGGAACCTCTTAAATCCGCTTCTGACCGTCGAAGGCAGAGACCTGTTGATGATTGTGACTGGTCATTAGGGGAATTGCTGTCCCGCAGGTTGTGTCTCCGGGTTTCTTAAGCCCCAGAATAATCAGTGAAGATTAAAGAAACACATGTTTCGCGTCGGGGCGGGGGGGGGGGGGGGC